TTCCTGGCCTTATGTCGTGCCTAGCCTGATGTACTAGTTGATAAAAGATTTACTTATATATTTTTAGCTTTGAATTGAGGAGGCTAAGACGAGACTTGACCCGGGTGTTCAAAATCCTCCGAGAATTGCTAAACACAAGCCGATGGACTTCAGAAGCAACAATGAAACACAAACCAGACGCGAGTGGAAACTGGGCGGAAGAGCGTTCAGAACTGAGAACAGGAGGACCTTTACACAAAAAGTGGTGGGAGTCCGGAACAAGTTTCCTGGCCATGTTCTTTCAAGGCAGGGGCAAAAGAGATCCTTTTATCCCTTAGTTACTAGCAATTAAAGAGCTTGAGGTTGAGGAGGCCGGATGTCCTCCTCTCGTTTGTAACCTATAGTCTTATAAATCTTATGCAGAACAGAGGTTGTGCACCTGCGTCTAGTGCACAGATAAAATCCCGAAGGAAATTTTATCTGTGCAGGAGTGCAGCGACGCGCTGGTGTAAATAAAAAACGTGTCTCCACCTTGTGGTGGATATTGGAATTGCACTACAAAAACCTATAAAAAATCTCAGCGACTGCTAGGGGAAACGCCTCATCTCTAATACCTAATGTAGGTTATAATTTTTTAAGCATAATGCCTTCTTATATGCAACCAGTTTTATGTTCTTATCGGGCTTAGGTTAAGTATTAAAAGATTACAAAAATGCACAGGGCCTCCCTTCAGCTACCTGAACAGCTGGTACCTCCACAGGCGATGATGTACAAACACCTTGCATTTCCTTTACTGTACTGCGAGCCAAGTGTTCCAGCAGAGGAAGCCTTCTGGTAAAGACTCAAACAGGACTAACGACCGGGAGAGATGGGACTTCTATCACCCCTTCCCCATCTCTGCTCAACACTGGCAACCCGAGAAGACTCGCCTTATATCCAACTGTCTGAAGTCTTCACGGATTCTGACATTGCTCCCATTAATCGCCTGGGGTCCTGTGCATACTGTTAGCTTATGTGCACACTGATCCGAGTGTCCATCTGTAGAACAAGCAAGTCTGCATGCAAACGAATGATGGTGTTTTATGGAATAAATAGGTGAATGTCAGGGAAGACTTGTGCATGGATACCATAAGAATTCTTTCAGATAGTAACATGAACCAGGATGCTACAGATAATAGCTATATATAAAATGCAGAATATTATAACAGCATGTGGTGTAACAGCGTGAATGTGTAGCTTCAGGAAACAGTCAAGCCAAAGTCTTTTGGGATAATTTATTTAATGTCATATCCATATCCATTCAAATAAACACTATTTGTATTCTCTATATAGTTTACATCTGCAGCTATGTTATACAAAAATTACAATGAGAGGAAAAACAAATAAAATGACACAATGTCTTTAAATAACACAGATTTCTAAACTAATAGCAAATCATTGATTATCACATTACGTTTCAAAGAGTTTGGTCAATTTCCGTGAAAAAAGCACAATGCCGTCAAAAAAGAGTATAAATCACTTCTTGTTTAAATCATGTATGAAACCGTTTTTATCCAAAAGAATGAGAAAATATCAAAACGTGAGCCTGTGCTACAAAAATATTCTGCAACTATCCTCTACCTCTTCAGACGCGAGTAAAATACACAGGGGACAGAGGAAACCATTTGCTCTATGGTGCTCTGTTTTGCATTTTTTTACACCACCTCGCACAAAACAATCAGCACAGCAGACTTTATGTGGCCCTGAAGGACACTTAATCAATGGCAGAGAGGCATTTTGTAAACCTCAGAGAAGCTGGTACCTCTCCAGTCCGACATCACACTGATGGACTGAGCGCTCGCCTTACGGACCGCGTGAAAAACTCCCTACAGGCATGCCAAGTTTACAGAATTCTCCTGAGAAAGGATCACCCCTCCTAACATAACACCAATCTGAAATGCACCGACAGGCTTTTTACATTAGCACCCTGAAAGAGGTTCTCTCATCAGAGAAGATGAAAGTACCGTGCATGGTGACAGAATGTTCTGTGAATTAGGCCCCCCGGTGGAGCAGGGCACCTCACAAACAGGTGTTCCCAGCAGAGTGCTGTGCTTGTGTGCAGGAAAAACGGCGCACACAGCTGATCCTGGAACTTAACACCATTTCCTACAGCTGGACAGCCACCCACACGTGAAGCAGAAAGCTCTCCCCCTCCTTATGCTGCTGTTTTTTTAAGTCCTCTTTCACAGCAGGACGACTGACGACCGACCTGCACAGGGATATAACAGGGGCACATCAGCTTCCCAGACATTTGGAAGAAAATGGCTTTGTACCTACAGTGCTCCAGCACTTACAACTCACAACAGAGTTGACCTGAACGTCAGATTTCACCTGCTTGGTGGGCACATTTCAGCAAGCTAGAATCTCACACCAAGCCTGGCGTCCTCTCAGAACACATCACAAATGCGATTCTGTGAGTAGTCTGAGGTTCAGCAATGCTCCGTGTTCAGTAAGCACACTGTATCCAAGCTAAATGATCCCATCTACCAAATTCTCCCTCCAGCCCCATTCCCCGCCCAAAGAACCAATTTTAAATTCAAACTTTTTCCAAAAGGCATCCAGGCTTTGCATAAGAGAGTTCTGTCAGGTTACAAGTTTTGCGAACGCGTGTGAAAACACCCCGAAGTCTCGCCGCAGCGCTGGTGGCCCAGAAAAGCTTCCTCCAAAAGCAAACATTCAGGCTTTCCAAAGCTGCAGCGTATAAATATATAAAAAAAGTCCTTCCTTATATAACTGTCAATGAACAAACCATTATAAAAGTAACGAGAGCAAAAAGATTAAGAGCATCCCCGTAGATCTTGAACGGAAATGGAGGTTTTTACAATTACCAATTACCGAGTTAAAATTCTTCAAAATTAAATCACTTCATTAGTGCCGGCAGGAAACCCGCAGAGAACAAAGGCAGAGAGATGTTTCTTACATAGAGCCAGACTTCAGCCAGGGGTTGTACTAATAATGTTGAGAATGTAGGTGTTCAGTTTCCTCGGGCCACAATTTTCCTTCTGCGGCTTAAGACAGAGAGAAAACAAGCAAAACTAGAGGAGCTGTCACAGGGCGCTGTCTAGTTTAAGAGAAAGTCTGAAAACTCTTCACCTCATAGGAAACAATCAGTAAGATGAGGCACTGGTTCTACTCAGAGGTGAACATTCACAAACATGGGTCTGAACAGGATTTCTTTTACTGTAAAACTAAAGTGGGCACAGTGCAAGACAACCGTGAATCTCATTACTACTCAGAGATATAAAAGTGTTTGAAAAAACATAAAAAAACATAGCAAGTTTGCAACAGTTAAGTCATTCTAAGATGACGTAACCTTCCCTAGCCCCACATTTGTTTTTACAAGAAGTTCACACACAGGGCCAGAACACCTCTGTGATTTTCACCACACCTATGCAGAAAACAACAGGAATTTATTCCTTGTGTATAAAAGAGAGAGCAACATTGTGCAATCACAAAAGTACAAAATTGGGGGGGGTTATTAGGCCATTATCACTAGGGAAGATATTGTGACAAAAAATCTGTTCTCTGCGTCATCATGGATTTAAAACTGTACAGGTATGTTGTGCAATTACTTCATGCAGGTGAATGACCTATAGTCAAATGTAATGAAATTAAAGACACTCCGCTCTGAAAAATGTGTTTGTCTTTATCAGTAGTATTGAGATTTTGCTGCTCCTATTCTGAAGGGGTTTCACCATAGCAGCCATGCAGACACGACAGCTTTGTTTCCTAGCCAGCTACCCACAATGCATTTCACTCCGTTTCTGTCACTTCCTGCTTGCCCTGTTGCGCTCCCTGATTACTGTGTATCACACTGTGTGAGCAGACTGGAACTGAACTACCAATATCGAAAAGCTTTGCTCTTCCTCTCCTTATTTTGGTACAAGGACCAGGATAAGACGAATGCCTGTCTCACACAATTGATAATGAGGCACAGGGCCGCCACATTACGACACAATTCTGCACTGCTGCTGAGAGTTAGGACTGACACACTTTTGTTAAAACCTCTCACATTGCTGAATTGATTGAATTACTGAAGTACCACCATCTTTTTTTACTTCAGTTTCAAGAGCTCTGAACTTTAAAAACAATGTGTCTGCAGTGTTTTTGCGGTCATTATTTGATCAACAAATATAGCAAATGCCTCATTCAGTGTACTATTCCTCTGCACAAGTGAGAAGATTTTACATAACTTTAAAGTACAACAACGTGTAAACAGTGCATATTTTTTCCTCCAAATAATGTCTTGGGAAAAAAAGGGTGTGGATCTATAAATACCACTGATGATAACAATAATAATGAGTAGAAGCTAAGTGTTTAAAAAGGAGTAACATTCAGTGAAGATGTAGTGATCATCGTTTTGTCTCCCATGCAGCTCATAATTTCATTATTTCAGTTTCACATTCTTAGTCTGAAAAAAGGACCAGATACCTTCTACTTTTTAAGCCAAAGATAAAGTAGCTAGGCCTCCTCCTTTTTCTTATCTAAGCGCACAGTTTCTAGTAACAAGATACTGGCCTGTTGCTTGTAATAACTATCAAGGGTCTGAATCACTATTGGATCAAATCAAATTACGAGATGCATCCTTGCAAGCGCTTTGACCGATTGTGTCGTTGTGTTTTTCAGGGGGTGAAAAACATATTGTAGCGCTTTCGGGTTCACATGGGTACGCACCCTCGCCGCTGCCGCCTCGGCTCGGCCCCCCACCGCTGGGGATTCGAACCCGGGCCTCCGGCGTCACTCAACAGGGACCCAGCCAGCTGAGCTAAAGGGAGATCTGCCCGGCGGCTGAGGTCCCTGCTATTCACAGGGAAGGGCGGTGACGTCACCGCGCTGGCAAGCCGGCTCACACAACCTGTAAATGTCGGCCGTGTTTGTTACAATATCCTAAAATGTTAAGCTCAAATGTAATAGTTAACTGGCTTCAATGTTCAATTTCACGTATCGTTTAATTTCAACAAGTATCTAAAACATGGCTGTTGTAAAGGGGTAAGCCTAGTCCATTACCAGTTCTTAACTTTTCAATTGTTTTTTTTTTTACATTCTAAATTCATTAGGCTGACATTTTTTTTTAATCGGAAATGTTATTTACATCTGTGTGTACTCGTGTAGCCGGCCAGTTTGACGACAACAGAGCACAGCTCAGAGCTTGAGCGTTCCAGTTATGAGTCCAGAACTCTAACACACTCCTCCACCCTTTCCCTGAAGAAATCTTACATTGTTTTTTGTTTGAAGAAAACTGCCACTGTGGCCAACATTCATATCAAAAGCCCTCCCGTGACCCCCAAGTAGTGAAAGTCCTAAAATTCCTATCTTACATCCCTAACGTGCACGTGACAGAATAAACCGAGTTCACATCATCTGAAACGCTCCTTTAAAGGACGTGAGATTTTTGCACAAGCTCAGTGAGCAGGCCAAGGGCTGGTACATGGGGACGATCAGGGAAGAAGAGCCGGAGTGGTGAGGGAGTGGACGAGGGACACACGGGGAGGGATCGAGAGACAGGGCAGGGGAATTAGAGAGAGGAGACAGGCGGAGGGGACAGGAAAGAGACGATTCCGGGGGCTCAGCCCCGCTACTGGGAGAAGCTGTTCTGCTGCCGGCGCTTCGCCGATCTCATCTTCTCGAAGCGGGACTCCATCTCTTCCAGCACCTTGGGAGTGTAGCGCACCACCAGCTTGACCGCGCCCTGTGCCGCCTTCAGCAGCTCCACCGCCTTCTCGTGGTGCTCCCCCTCCACGCTCTGAGGGGAAACGGGCGGGGGGGCCGTCAGAAGCAGGAAGTTCCCTCCTTCAGGTCCCGTTACAAACCCCACCCCCTCTCGGCGGACTTCGGTCTCGTCCATACGGTCCGCGAAATACACCGGCGCTGGGGTACAGCCCTCGCAAAGTCCGGATCAGAGCACGTTCCGCTCGTTCGGAATATCAGCCCTGCCGCCCCGCTCCGTGCAAGGCTACCTGGACCCATCCCCGAGCTCCAACTCTCGTTAAACGTTGAGGTGCTCCCTGCTCGGTTTGACAACTCAAGCAGAAATGACACAGCTCCTTTATAACGGGGGGAGGTCAGCCAATTCCAATGGTGTCACTTGCATACAGAACAAGAAGAGCATCTTTCTGGATTTTTTTTATCAGGGTCCCCGGTATACACTGGGGTTAGGTACCAGAAAAGAGCTACTTGTAGCTCGTAACAAAACAACTTAAATGAGGGAATTGATCCCCGTAAGAATAATGTAACATAGGCATGGGCTTCACACGTGGGACTCAGTTTGGGAATTTTCTTCCATAGAAACAATGGAATGTGGCTGGAAAAGTAGCACCACACTCCTGCTGGTTTTCATTATATGACATGAAATCATTATCACGTCTTTGTGAACATGACATCACGGATGCATCAGTAGCTCTGTGCGCCTGAGGCGGGGGGCAGACAGTGGCCTCCTGCTTTTGACATCTGCACCTACACAGCTGTGAAGACCCCCCCCCCTGCAACGGGACACAGACAAAAAAAAAACTCACCACCCCGTTGACGGACAACAGCTGGTCCCCCCTCTTCAGCCCCCCTTGCCGGTCTGCAATTCCGCCCGGGATGATCCGGGAGATGTAGATGGGGGAGTTCTGCTCCTTGCCCCCCATGATGTTGAAGCCCAGCCCCTCCTCCGTCTTCGGCAGCTCCACCACCCGGGGGTGGGAATGGCCTTCGCTGGCGGCGAAAGCAGCTACCGTCGCCTGGGGACAACATGGACCGATAAGCCCCAGGGATGCCATCAGCTCACACTTCAGCACGGCATCTCAGGCTACCACTCCCCAGCAACATCCCCCAGGTTCACTCAAGGATCCTGCCACAGGGAAGATGTTAGCAGGTTCCCAGCGAGTCTTACCTAAACCCATATTCTCCCCAACAGCGCTCTGAGACAGTAGACCAATGTAGAGCTGGGAGCGCTCATGTGATCCTAATGGGATGTTCCCTGGGAAGGCTGCCAGGTTGCACCTGTAATTGTTTGAAGTGGAGAAAAGCACCCGGGATGATCTGGGAGATATAGATGGGAAAGTTCTGCTCCTCGCCCCCCATGATGTTGAAGCCCAGCCCCTCCTCCGTCTTCGGCACTGACCGGGGATCCTGGCTCTCAGTGTTTACAAGTGTACTGGGAATCCATTTTGCCAGTTAGCGACCATGGAGTGAGAAAGCGTTCTACTCTCAAGGAAACTCAGATTGGCAGGTACCACGAGAAAACAATCTTATCCATGAACAGATCTGCCCTGTTTGTGCAACTCTGTTTATCTATACTGCAAACGTCTGAGTCTTGACTGAATAAGCTTTTGTTCTGCTTCTTCAGCACAAAGCTCCACGTGTCCGAATAGTCAAGTCTACCAATGCAGGTTTAAGTAAAAAAAAAATGCAAGGTTAGCTTCCTTACAGTTGCGAAAAGTTTCGGTTTCTTTTTTGCGCCGACGGAAATGGTGTTAAAAAACGACCCAAAGCTTTACAAATTCTTAAACAGCGGGTAGGCCGTTCCCTTATTCCAATTTTGGGCCTCAGGTGAGGGCAGTCCCCAGCTGCAAGAACAGCATGGAGGAAGCTATGTGGAGCATGGAGCTGTACAGGAAAAGCCTTCAGATGGGGAAACACATTATCCTCTTGACAAGTGGTTTCTGCTCCTGGAGTTTTGCTGCTCCTGAGGCTGGTGCAGGTCGACTCACCTTGGCTGTTGCGTTGGCTCGGACCTCGGGGCTGCTGTTGATGTCCACCGTTTCGTACACGTGTTCGTACACCTGCAGGACAAAAAGAAAGGGTGCTTTTCCTCCGACAGATCGGCCTTCCTTTCATAGAAATTGACCAAACAAAAGCAGAGAAAACTCCACCCAGCATAATAAACAGCTCTGAGCTCATAACTGGAAGGTTGGGGGTTCGAATCCCAGATGCCATTGGAATTTACAAGGAGGGCTCCAGTAAAATGCCAGCTTTATAAATGGAGACAAATGTGAGGTGATTTGGATAAACGCATCAGTCAAATAACTTTATACACAATGGCCAAAACTGCGAGGACTGTGAAGATATTTGCTGTGGTTATAAACATAGTTCAGAAAGGAGGAAAAGCAGCACCGTCTCGCAACCAAGGAGACACCACTTACAACAGCAGAAAAAAAAAAAACACTGTACGTGAACCTGCATCACTCTCCTGAGCTAGACAGCTTCGGCCTGCAAAAGCTCTTGGGAGGCCATTAAAGATATAACCCCTGTAGACTTAGCCCACATGTTTTTGAAAGGGGAAGAAAAGGCCAAACCTTTTGTCTGTCAACTCTAAGAGCTTTTGAGGACAATGCTGCTCAAGAGCCTGGGAACAGGCAGAATACAGGGCCCATTCACAACACTGAAGACAAGCCAGGGTTCCTCAAAATGGTCTCTAAAAAATAAAATACACTACACTGAATACAAATACAGTAGGGTCTTGACACCTGTGAATTTAATGTTTGCAAAATTTGCTTGTTTTTCGGTCTGGTTGACAGAATCTTGGATGGATGAAGCGCACAGTGAGGTTGAACTGAGCTAAAGGCTGAGAAGCACAACTTTCAGCTTGACGGACTAGGATCGCGAGATGAATCTGGTTAGCAACTGAGCCTCCTCCTGCCCCCTGCCCAGGTATGCACTAACCAGCCACTACCTCAGCGTGGGCTTGTTTATATATTGCAACGGACGCTCCAGGTTCTGTGTCAGCAGACTGGGGAGTGACAAGCCGGGAGACGACTTCGCTGACTGAGTTTTATTGCCCATTTCATTCCAGTGAGGCTGAGAAAGAAAGTGCAGGCATCCACTGGATGCAGAGGAGCAATTCATGTTGTTCATTTTAGCTGACTACTATATTCATCATCACATAAGGGAGGGTTCCTTATGTCTTTTAACCATACTTACTATAAACCGATACAGTGCAGCACATCATGCAAATTTGACCAATGTTGAGACCCTACTGTAACTGGAACCTGACAGGTTTGTGGCCTCTTTACTTAATTTTTCCAAACAACATAATCTTTTGCCAAACGCTGCACTGCCACTCTGAGACCGAATAATAAAACACACCGTTTTTTTTATCAAAGCCAACAAGGCAGTTGCTTGGGACGGAGATATCCCTCCCTACAACCGAAACCTGGGTGCCAGCATGGGCCCATCCTCAGTTTGACACAGCGGCTAAGGGGCTCCAGACCCTCGATCTCCTTACCTCTCTCACAGCGTTGCAGAACTCGCTCTGCAGCACCCTCTGCAGGGCCTGCAGCTTCTGGGGCGGCACCTCTCCGGTCCGCTGCAGTTTATCCAGGAGCTCGATGGCCCGGGAGATGTCTGAGGAGCCGAAGGCCGAAGGGAGAAACAGGTCAGGACAACGGCACCACACGAGCACGTGCCTCTGTCTGCGCAGAACGTCCCTGTGGAGCAACAGGAACTTGCACGGGACCAGCCTCTGCATGCAGGCAGTAGATGTGTTGACGCTTTTTTTTTTTCCCAGGCTAAATGTTTTTACTGTACACTGTAGTACTTCTGTGCCGTGGCGACTGGGTTAGTTTTTACGCCTCAGTTGGGGGGGAGGTTGGCATAATTTGAGAAAAATGGTTTCCGCATAAACTAACAGACATGTAGTGTCGTCCCCCACGACGCAAATTATTTTTTAGAGATATAAACCAGACGTTATTTTATTTTAATTCTAAAAAAATACTGAAATATTGGGTGTTGGCACGCCTAGCAGGGTACTGCGCACACTGGAGAGGCTACTGAGCCAAAACAACACAGTAGTTTAGGCTGCGTGAAACACACTTGAAAAGGAAGCCACCTTTCAGAAAGAAGTTAGTTTTAAAGGAAGGTGAGACTGATGTTGGCTCACGGGGGACCACTGCATGAGAATCAATCACACGACCCCCGACTGCATGCCAGTTTCAGTCTCACAAAGGTCAATCTCAGCAGGTACCTGTGACACCGCCACTCTCCTACGTCACACATGAGTCGAAACCACCAATCACACGGGCTTAGTGCGGCCCTTCCAGATCGGACAGTCCAACCCCAGTCCACCCACGGGTCAAAGACCCTGTCTCTCGTGGGGGTGTTCCCAAACACTCTCTTCACTAGTCCCAGTTCCACACCGGGTGTGCGCAGATATGCAAAATTTATATTTCAGTATTTTCTTTAGAATTACATTAAAACGACACCTGTTTTATATATATAAATAATATCCATCATGTGGCACCTCTGCATTGTCTGTTTGTTACGCTCAGCAGGTGTGAGCCTGGCCAGTACCTGGATGAATGACCTCCTGGAAAAGCTGAGGTTGCTGCTGGAAGAGGTGTTAGTGGGGCCAG